CGCAGGGGCATCCCTCGAGGAAGCCGGCCCGCCCCGGCGACGGATTGGACCGCCCCCCCCCCGCGCCCATTGGACCGCCCCGCGGCCACACCCCGCCCCTGGCCGGCTGCTCCCGCGCTGGCCGCTCCCGCGCCGCTCCGGGACGGGGCCCGGCTCCTGCCGCCCGCCCGCCCGACGGCCCCCGCCCCGGCGCCCCCGTCGCCGGGGCGGGCCGGCTTCCTCGAGGGATGCCCCTGCGCGAGCTGCCGGACCCGGGAGGAGGCCGCGTCTCCTTGGCGGCCTTCCCGGGAGCAGGTTATACTTTAACGCACGACTGCCCACCTCCCGCGCCCCTATGTAACTCCAGGGGCTGGGTGGCGGAGCCTTCCCTGTCGTTCAGGGTTCAGGTCCCACCTTGGGGTAGCCACCCTGTGGGCCGGCTCACCGCTCGGAGGAGCCCCTCGGCCTGAGGACCGCCCGCCAGGGCTTGCCTCCCTCCCCACTCGGTCTTCTGAGCCCGACCAGCCGGCGGCCCCAGGTGACAGGGCGCAGGTACCCAGCACCCCCAGCGGGAGGAAGCCCATTCCCAAGGAGAGGTTTTCACTCCTTCCAGACGCCACCCCGCCAAGCCTCCCAGGCTTTCAAGAAGAGCAGGCTGAGGTATAGCAGTGTTCATGCTCCCTGAGCTGGGGCTTTATTGAGACCCTGCCCTAGAGAGGACATGGCAGCCAGGACCCTAGGGACCCCATAGGCTGACAGCACTGCTATCCGGAATTCGTGCTGTTAGCCGCGTGTGGGGGAGGGGACTCTGTGGGAAGAGAGGGGTCGCACCCCACTCTGGAGGAAGGATCATCTGTACCTGGGTGTTCAGGGCAGAGGGGATGAAGACCCCTCCCCAGGCTTAGACAGGAAGCAGGGGGTCTCCATGCCCTGCACATGTCCTCTCCTGGTAGGAGTTGGAGCTGGGGGGTTCCAGGTGCCCGGGGGCCTCCGTCCCCTGGATGCTCTCATACACGTTTTCCAGGAGGCTCTTGTCCACGCCCAGGCCCCTGAGAGGGAGGACCTCGTAGGCCAGGTCCCTCCCCAGAGCCAAACTCGCTTCCCCACCCTTGGGGCCTGGCTGGTCTGTGGAAGGTCCTGGGTCCCTCCTTTTAGGCCTGCTGATCCTGGAATACAGGATGTCCACCTGGAGAGAGGAAGCCAGTCCAGGGAGGGCTCAGCACCACCCGCTCGGCCGAGGATCTGCCCAGTCCCGCCCACCCTACCTCACACCCTTCACTTCACCTGAGCAGCTGGGGTCGCCTCAGCTTTCCCGTGCTCCAGGCCTCGGGGGCCCCTATCTGTTCCCTTGAGCTTCTGGACACACGCATACTCAGCCCCCACGGGTCTGGCCTCGGGACCGGGCCTGGCACAGCTGCTGGTCAGCTGTGCCCCTGCCCACACCCCAGAGGTGACTGCCAGCCCGGTCCTGGGGATGGCAGCCAGCCCCACGTTGGAATAGGTGGCCTCAGGGCCGGTGGAGGGCGTGACCAGGGGCAGCTCCTGGTGTGGGAAGGCTGCCGGGGGCCTGGACGTCGTGCCTCTGTACGCCTCCAGCCATTGTGGGCGCAGATCCATGCTGGCAGGCTGTGGGGCTGAGGGTGGGGGCAGGGCAGAGATTACTTAGGGGTCCGCGGACGCCTGCCCGCTGCTAGGCCCCAGCCCTTCCACCAGCTCACCTCTGCTGCAGAGCCAGCTGCGGTGCAGCTCGTGCAGTCTGGTGTCCGACTTGCCGAGGGAGCAGTGGTAGGGTCGTCTCAGCAGTGACTGGGGGCAAGGAAGGCTGGCCGGTCCCCTGCTGGCCCCAGGGACACCCTGGCACTCACCGCTTCTGCTGGCATTACACTGCTCTGTGGCCCAGACAGCTGCCTCTGTGCCCGCTTCCTGGGTGCAAGAGGGTCATCAGAGCGGGGAGGCAGAGGTGCGGGTCAGAGGCGTCGGCCTCCAGTCCAAGGCCAGTAGGGACGTGTGTCTGTGTGTGTGTGTGTGTGTGTGTGTGTGTGTGTGTGTCTGTGTGTGTGTGTGTGTGTGTGTGTGTGTGTGTGCGCGTGCGCGCCTTGTGCTGCCAGAAGGTCCCCCACCCCGTGCTCTGACTCAGCACACAGGAAACCCCAGGGCTCAGCAGCCCCTCTCTCCTATGGAGGCCGAGGGGACAAAGCCTCAGCGCCTACCCTCCCGCCTCTGCGCAGGGGCTGCTGGTGAGGGGTGAGGCATGCTCTGTCTGGCCCCCATGAGGACCTGAGTTGGCAAAGATGACTCAAGTGATGTCCAAGCACGGCCAGTTGAGGAGGGGCAGGGCAGCCGGGACCTGGCCAAGGCCCCACTGTGGTCACTGAGGCCAAACCTGAGAGCCGGGGAGGCCCCCAGGTCACACCCCAGGCTAGCAAGCCACAGGCCACAGACTCACCTACAGCCATGTCCTGCCCAGGCATGGCTCCTGTCCAGGTGATGCCCCCTAGCTGTCCACTACAGAGACTGACCCCCTGGGAGGCTGGAAAGCTGGGGGTCAGCAGGCAGGAAGGGCTGCTTTGGACACTGACCACCCCACCCCTGGCTCTCCATCCCTCCCCTCCAACTGCCCCTGCCATCGGACGTCCGCTTCCTGGAGTCCTGGCACAGGTGCCGGAGGTGAGGGGCCAGCAGCGTGGAGCTATCTCCGAAAGTGGGGGCCAGTCTGCTCAGACCCAGGGAGTGGGCTTTCCTCACCAGAGGGCCCAGGTCCCAATGCCCTGACCTGGTAGGGCCCATTCAGCACCTAGGGTGGCGGGCAGCTTGGGCACCTCGAGCCGCAAGGCCTCGTGTCGCCCTTGGCCCAGCTCCCCACCTAACTTCCTGCCCGTGCACCACGCCGCGTCTTCCCACGCAGCCGCCACGGCAGCCTCACCCACCTGCCGTGGCCCTGCCTGGGGCCTAGACGGGGCTTGGCAGGGGTGTGCTGCGAGCTGGTGCTGATCGGAGGCCCTAAATCCTGTTGTCTCCACCCACGATGCAGTGGGTGCATGTGGGCGACAAAACAGGCGGGCACCGACCCAGGGTGCCAACACCCCCCGCCCCACCAGGTCCTCCTGCCTCGATCACGGCGCTCCCTCTTGGCCCCGCACAGCCACGGTCTCCTTCCGTCACTGCAGCACCGGGCTCACCTGTCTATGGGTGTCAGGCAATGTGGGGGGCACCCTAGGCTGTGACCGCATCTGGGAGAGCAGCAAGGAGGCCCGTCCTCCCGGGCCCTCTGCCTCTGGGCAGGGTGCTGGGCAGCACCCTCACTCAGGACCCCTCCAGCCCAGCCCCGTGACCCGGTGCAAAGACCCCTCCTCCTCAAAGTCCCCACAGCCAGCCGAGCCTCCACTAAAAGACACTGCAACAAAGTCACTTTAATGTCCTTGCTCAGGAGACAGCCCAGGACACTGGTAGGTGGGCTCAATGGTCAGGAAGCGTCAGGAAGGGACCTGACAGGGACCCCTGCAGCCTGTCTCCTCTCAGCAGCGGCCACATGCCCGAGGCCGGCAAGAAGGCCAACTGTGAGGGCTGGCCCCTCTTCCGGTGGCATTCTAGCTGTCGAGGGACAGCTGCTCTTCCTGAAGGCAGCGGGAGCCGGGGTCCCTGAGCTCTGTCCACGCCACGTGTCGGGGCCCTAGAACTCGGTCATCTTCTTGTGGGTGTCCGCCTTCCTCTGTTCCCTCTGCAGGCCCGCCTCCTGGGCCCGGAGCTGCCCCAGCTGCCGCTGGGCTCCCGCCAGCTTCTCCTGCAGCTGGGCTGCTGTCACGCTGTGCCTGGGGAAGGGCCCGCCATTCAGCACTGCCCATCATCCTCCAGCCCCTCCTCAGATCTGGCCCGCCGCCCTCAGGTCGGGGCGAGCTCTCACCCAGGCACCACGGGCAGGGGTGCGGCGTGGCTCGGGCAGGGCCCACACGTACCGGCCAGCATTCCGGGCAAGGGCCTCCTGGATGCCCCGGATGGCTCGCTGGGTCTGCTCGATCTTCTCCTCCGTCTGGAAGAGCTGCAGGCTCAGGGCGCGCTTGGCACTCCTGCTGGCGTGGTACACCTCCTCGCCACTCCTCCTTCCCGGGGGCGCCACCCCCGCCTCCAGGGCCCCGGGGGCCCCGCCTTTCAGCTTCTCGTTCAGGAAGTCAAACACATTGCGAGACGGTGGGCGGCCCCTAGGCCCACCCCCTCTGCCCCGGCATTTTGGGGGCCTGCTGGCGCCAGCCTGGCTGCCCCTGGTCCTCTTCTGCAGGATCTCCGCACACTGGTCCAGCGACTTCCCTCGCGGCAGCACCACAGCGTGGATGGGCTCCACCCGG